GCCAGAGATTTTTAGATGTCTGAACATTCAGATACTTCAATTGTGATGGGGGATAACGTTCCCAGACTATACTTCATTTGAAAATGCCTTCAAAGGGTACAGTGAGAAAACAAGACTGCTCGATTTTGGCAGTAACCTATTTTGCATTTAGTCATCCCTAAAGCGAAAACTAAATCACAAAAAATCCCTCCGCGCCCTCACCCCTTCACACCTTATACATACAAACACACACTTCCACACACACGCAAACACCCGTGCGCGGGCCACTCCATTCGCAAATGACCAAATCTCGAGAACAGAAACCTTTTGGAGAAATACAGCTCAAGTTTTATTTTCCCGAGCATTCGTAGAAATAGAGCTGGCCTATTTATTATATATTCATAATTAAATTGTATTTGTGTTGGGTAATGTCTGTGTCTCCGCTCAGATACTATAGCAAGCTCTTTGACCGAGTCTCTGTGCTTTGCAATCTTTTCTATCATCACAGTAGACTTTGATAGCATACTTTAGGAATCTCAACCGGGGATCCTGAATCAGCCCCCCCCCCCACACATTCAAAAGTAGGTCACTCAAAAGGTGCTGGTCCTAAACTCGCCTCCCCATCAGTATTGGCATGGTTAAAGGCAGTTGCAATTATGAAATCACATGCTCCCTACAACTACGGCTACATTCACAATGTCTTGGGGGGGGGGGGGGGGGGGGTAATTGTGTGTGTGTATGGAGGGGGGGGGGAGGTGCTCAGTCTTCAGTCTATTATGTGTGGAGCTGGGAGATTGTGCAAATTATATAATTAGATGTTAAATGGTGCCTAGGCTTACACTTGAGTGGCACAATGTGTGGGTGGTAGAGGTTTTGCGAGCTTCGTAACAACAGAGTAAATGAGACAAACTAAAACTATAACACTGGAGCTGTGTGAAAGAAGAATTTGCAAAGAAGGAAATTACCTCTGTGCTCATTTAAACATTTTGTCGAAGGAATGAGTTTTAAACTGTTACACTGTAAACGCACGTTTTATCCCATTGTCACCCCTCATTGATTGTTGTCCTGTTTTAATGTCTGATTATGCAACATGAAATACTGCGTCCTACTTGAAGTCCTATTCCAACCTCTCGGTGGTGAGCAGGGGTAACTATAACATTGAATAATACATTTCGCTTCTAATAAAGAAAAATACTAATTGTACATGACACACAGAATCACAATGCTCAGAGATGTGAATTTATATATTCTTAGTAGTAGTACAGTGGAATCCTGTTATAACGAGAGGGAGGGGACCGGAGCAAAATGTCCGTTATAGCAGGATTCTCGGTATAAGGGATCCAGTAATAAGTTCAAGCGAAACTGTAAAGTAGGCCTAATCTATGAGTTTGATGTTCTGTTTATTTCCTTTTGCTATCTCCCCTGATGACGATTTTGTTTCAACATGACCTCTGGGTCTTACGTGATCAAAAATCGATTCAGGTTTCTTTCTCTAGCGCTAGATCTAGCGATGTGGACTGACAGCTCGGTGTTGGTGATCAGAAAGAAAGGGCTCTTGGCTAACTCGCCCGCTGTGTTTTCCCCCACCCCACCACACCCTGTGGTGCATTCCGTCTGCTCGCGCACGTCACACATTCGCTCCGTCCATCACATTGCTGTGACCTCTCCATCCCGGCATCGGAGAAGTGAGAGGCATGGTAGCCCTTGATCATCTAAACTAGGCTTACGCTGGCATATCACATGATGCGTTCTGTTTGTCTGCGCATGCCACACCCTCCCTGCTCAGTTGCTCTGGCCTTCATTATTGACGCACATGGGCTCTCCTATTCTTTGTTTGGCAAGATCACCAACAAATTTCTCGACTGGCGAGGTCTTACATTATGTATAATTGGCCTATGCACTGTGCACAGCAGCAGCAATATTCCGCTATAACCGACTCTCATGTTTGTCTGATAGCGCTATAACAGTATTTTATTTACAAAGGTAAAGAGGAGAAAAAAACAGGGTTTTAGAATAGTGTCTTTATAACAGACTTCTCGTTTTTTCCAGACTCGTTATAAGTGGACTCCACTGTAGTAGTAGTTTACGCCTTTTTTAATCAATACTAAAAAAAAAAAAAGAGAAAACTAGTATTAAAGGTTGTTGTGGGGGTTGGCAAGTCGTTACTTAAAGTAGAATTCTGGATTCTTCAAATTAAAAAGTATTCTTCCAATCTTTGAAAACAAAATTGAAAAAGATTGAGAACGAACATTTTTATAGACTAAAATCTGGAAACGTAGGCATTTCAGAATCAGCTTTTTCCTGTTCAGAGCGTTTTGTCATAAAACGTTAGTAACAGTCCCCCAGTAAGCACTGCTAGGGGACTGCTCACTCTCCCAGTAAGACGGAGGGGGAGACTGTACAGGCCAGTGGTTAGCGCTAGAGGGCTCTACAGTCCCCTAACAACTTCCAATAGAAATAGACAGGTCCAGAGGGACTTTTGTGTCTTTTTTAAAATCAACCTTTTCCGCGGCGTCCAAAATTCCGTCTCAGCGATCTTTTAGTGAGTCCGGGCCCCCCGCGGTAGGCCATAAATTAGCGGCAGATGACCTGCAATTTCACGCGTCAAGTCGGGGATTGACCGGGGTCAACTCGTGCACAGCGCTGTCCTATCTTGTCTTTATCAGAACGCGTTTCTTCCCCCAATTTCATGAGCCGTAAAATGATGCTCACTCTACCCCTAGAATCTATTTCTTCACCAATTCCGCTTCGTCTACGTCTTCTTGATATCTTGTGAAAGTTTCAACAGTTTTCATTGATTCGTTTGGGAATAATAACAGTTTTAAATTGTGAGTGTTAAGTGATCGGAAGCGCCGTTAATAGTGTTATCTCTTCAAATTTAATTACAAATCATTAGAGAATGGAACGATGGTCTTTATTTCTGTTTGCGCAGTGTGATAGCCATCAAATCATATTTTCTAATGATGTGAATTTTGTTTTTCCAGCACTTTTCAGTGACTGGATATCAGTTAGTGAATTGTGTTCCTAAGTAAAAATCGTTAAACTGCAATGGGCCAGTCACACATATGAGAGGCATAGAGTCTCTGAATGAACTTTGTCGGGTGTGTTGGTGTTTAAATTTAACTGTCAAACAGAAACAGAAAAGCACAGAAAGCCCCGATTATGTAAGACAATGGCAGGATATATTCTCTTGGTTTATGGGATTGATGTGAGGGACAAAAATGAACAGTCGTATTCCGCTAACATTTGTGTCAAGTCTTTTACCGCGATTTCAACTATCAAACGGAGATATGGTGTTATGTCATGTCAATTCATGCCGCAAAAAAGCAGTTGACACTAGTCGGAACATGTGGTGTGCGTTTGACAATAGCAGAAATGTGAATTCCTTCTCCGTTTTGTCGGTACCGCTTAGGTGGCTGCATACAAAGATCCATTTCAAGCTAACATCGTAAAACAACCCAAACATACCTCCCTCCATCCCCATGTATGCAAGGAACTAACAAACACAATTTGTACAGAAACAAGAAAATACTGCCGCGAAACTGCAAAAATTGAGGAAGCAAGTGGACTGGAAGCAATATTCAATCTTCTCAATGAAAGGTTTAGCCATGTTTACACTGCAATATCACATCTCAAACCAATCAAACATTTTTCACTTCCATAAATCTTCTTAGCAATCGACAATTACATGTCCGCATTCAGACGCTATTTCCCCGCAAAGTTATCCCAAAGCAACACATATCATAGCAACACTGTATTCCACACATACAACAACACATGTTTGTTCTCGGGCTTTTAGGAGAACAGGACACAGAAAGCAGCCACCAAGCGATCTCAAAACTGGAAGCCAGAGCACGAAGGATCTCAAACCAGATAGACATAATGCGTTTTATTTTTTGTGTCGCATCTCCTGCAAATAGCTCCCTCATTGCGTGCTACTGGATATGTTTAGAAAAAAAAATTGTATAAATTTATAGTTTTATTCTGTACATGTTCATTTTGTGAAAAGAAATCGGTGCTGTATATTGAAGATACGTCAGTATATCATTATTCAGGAGGATACACAATCCATTGGATACAAAAAGTCATGAATGCAGGGAAGCGTTTTGGCTATCATGCTCATGACAAGTTCCATGTTCGTGCTGGAAACAAAATTTTGAGTGAGTCAATTTCTAAACACATTTTCCTGTCTTACGTGGCAGTTTTGTAAATATTTATCGTTAGGCTTATAAGTTATTAGCCATTCAATATGTGTTTGTTGTTTTGACAAACTATAAATAGACATACTTTTTAAGAGCATCTAACTCAAAAATGTGAGCAGCCATGGTATTGCTATTTCGTACCAATAAAGAGGTTTAGTTTCTTTCTCTAAAGAACAAACTTGTGTTCACGTATGATATTTTTTTTGTGTGTGTAAGACGATAAAACATGTGTTGAAAAATTCATTTCACCGGCTACCGACGCAGGTAGCGGGAGGGCGGGTTAGTGACCTCTGGGTGACCGGCCTGCCGTGACCCGGTCACTCCATCGCCGATCCAACTAAAAGAGCGCTGTTTGTACGCCGTGTATTGTTTCATGGCAGTAAAATTGAAAAAGAATGGAAATCCAGTTTTCTTTGATTTGCGTGACTGGATTTGTTGTAGAATACATATAAATGAGAAGGTATAATTAATAAAGTACAAATAATTTTACGTGAATATTATTTACAATATTGATGTCATGTAGTGTTAGCCTGGACCTCAGTTTATTTCGTTCTGTCATAGGTCGGGCGTATTGCATAACTGTTGTGGTGGTTTGTAGACCCATTTCTCTTCAATAAAATGAAGTGGTAAAAACTGTGTAAACTTTTTTTCGTTTAAATGTCACGGATTAGTCTTTTTAAAGTCATTATTTCCACTTATTCATAATTCATGTGAAGTATATAAAAAGCAGTTAAGGCATTATATCTCCACATTTTGATAAAAGTGCGATTTGTGAAAAAAATGTTTATTTTTATAGTTTTATATCTTTTCATTCATCAGGTTCTTGATGTTCTTGGGATAATTGAGGTTGATTTTTTTGGCCTACAATACAACGGATCAAAAAAAGAAGAATTGTGGCTGAACCTGCGTAACCGTGTCTGTGATCAAATCATCGGGTCATCCCATGTGTACCGATTGAAACTGAGAGTCAAATTCTTTGTTGAGCCACAGTACATCCAACAAGAGTCCACAAAGTAAGTAGTAGGCCGCTCTCACACTGTGAGCCTTCTCTTGGGCAAGTAATACATAACTGCTGAAACCATAATTGTATTAGGCCAGTCAGCAAAAGTGCTAAAAGGGTAAAGGAATCATTCAGTAGGTTGAAATTGTGACTTTTTTGTATTGCTCCAAATTTAAAAAAAAAAAAAAATTACTTTCAATAATCAATGCTGTTTGAATTCTGTACAGGGAACAAAAGGGTATTTTTTAGAACTACAATCATTGAGCAATGTTGTACGTTTTGGATTTTATTACTGTTTTTACTTTTTCCTAATTTTTTGACATGTAATAGGATTTGTTCATAGAACCCATTCTATACTTTTTAACAATATTTATAATAATAAGAACCCAGTTTGGGTCGAGGGGAATTTATCAACTTATCTAATTCTAAACATCTTTCTTTACTGTAGTACCTGAAAGAAAAGTTTGTAATTAGTTTTGGCACCTGGCCCTCTCCTCATGTTGTCAAAAAAGCCCCGATGCATCTGGATTGCCAACATGTCATGTTTGGTGTAAAGAAATAAGCAAGGGTGATTTCTATAAAGAGCTGAGTGACGCCCTGTGAAATTTGCCCATAAAAACCTGGTCTGTGCGAGAACCCACTTTTTTTTGTCTCCTTGTGACCAGGTTCTTTGGCAGAGACCACTGCATAATGTAAAGTGGTACTGTGACCTTTGCTCAATTAATTGTATTTTTGACTAATAGAGATTAAAGGATTCATTGTTAAAGCAGACAGTAATGAAAATCCTGTATTTCAGCTCTTTCTTATATATATATACCATGTAAGTTGTTTGTCCATAGCTTTCAAATTAGTTTCAAATACTGTTGTTCTTCATAGTTTTAATACTATACACAGCATATATTTTTGTTACAGTTGTTGGTTTTCGTTATTTTTCTTTCGACACTTGTCATTTTTTGTTTTCATTTGAAATCCCTTTGTAAAGCCAATGATCAAGGATATAAATCATTGTGAATTTCGACTTAATCAACGATTGATTTGAAAATAATATTGAAATAATTTTTTGTCTTTTTCCTTTGCCTTAGGGATCTGTTTTATGTACAAGCTAAAGAAGCCATATCCAAAGGACACATATCCTTAACAGAGCCACATTGTGATGAGTGCAAATTAGCAAAGCTTGTGGCTTACATCACTCAAGCTGAGCATGGAGACTTAACATGTAATTCATATCAGCGGCACACTTACGAAGAGGTGAGGAGTTTCTTTATTGTGACTTGAGGTCGAAAGTGTGTTTACCCCCTTCTTTTTACAGAGATTCATTTCTTTGTGGCTGATATAAGGAAGAAAAACGTTAAGTGGCAGTGGTTGTGTGGGCATCCTCTCACTTTACTGCCAGAATTTGTGCTTTTTTTATCCTCATTTTGGGGCTCTCGTGGCCTAGAGGTTAATGTGTTTGCCTCTTTTTCAAAGGTCCCGGGTTCGAATCCGGGTAGCAACGGAAAAGTTTTTTACTCTGAAATTGTCTCCTTTCGCTGCCTTTCCTGCTCTCTAACAGTGTTCTGCCGTCTGCTATCGTCTCTACTTTCTGCCCCCACACCTCACCCCCTTTGCCCCCCTCCTTTAGGCCCCGACTCTTTCTGCAGCCTTTCTACTGCTAGTCCTTGACTCCTTACTGCTGTCTTTCAGCCACACTCCTGATCTTCTGGTAATAAAGATCTACACCTAGCCTTCTTGGACAAGGGCGAAAAATCTCAGAGGTCCTGTGTGCAAGTTGTGCATGTTAAAGATCCCTTGGTGGTCCAAAATTGATTCGACCGCCACCTTGGCAAAGTTAAAAATTTCCTACCAACTGAAAATGTTTAATGTGTCCTGTGCGCTCATATGACCGTATGCAGTTTTCATCGCTGCAAAACATTTACCCCCCAAATTTAAAAAAAAAATCCCCATTTGAACTTAAACATGTAAAGTTCAGCTGGTTTTGAATTTGCACTTGGGCACACACACGCACGCACTTGGGCACACACACACACACACACACACACACACACACACACACACACACACATACACACACACACACACACACACACACACACACACACACACACACACACACACACACACACACACACACACACACACACACACACACTCACACACACACACACACGAGAGAGAGAGAGAGAGAGATGATTACTATTATTATTATTATATTTTCTGCCAGAATTTGCTCTTCTTTGACCCCTATTTGAAATTTTTGAAACATTTGTTTGTGTTTGACATTACTTACCTTGTTGTTTGTTTCAGATTCTGAAAGAGCTGTATCCAACATACATCCCATCACAAACCCTCATTGACAGGGTGCTCTGGGAACATTCCAACCTGCATGGCATGCCTCGGGCAAGTTCAAGGTATTTCATGCTACAGATTGTAAGTGAGCTGCCTGGCTATGGGATGGAGGTGCACAAAGTTCACACAGCTCAGGGATTCGATGTCAACTTTGGAGTTGGTCCAGAGGGACTTGTTCTCCAAAATGCCAAGACCAAGGAGGAGAGAACGTGAGTAATGTAAAGACACTTATGTTGCCTGTTGCTAATGAATTTCAATGAGCATACTATATGTGACACATTGTGGCTGGTGGTGATATCAGGTGCTCATCAAAATAATAATATAGAGGAAACGTCCATTTTCCCACCGGTTTGACAATTGTTCAGTGAATTTTTAATTTTTGGCTCAACGCCTTTATGTCAATTTGAAGACACGTTTCTGTGTGAATTTTACTAAAACATATTGATTAAAGGCACAAAAATACAAATTTTCTGTTTCCAAGGACTCTCAAACTTTGGCGCTCACTTTCTCACGGATTTTTTCCTCTGAAAACAGGCGACCCGCACCTCCCTCAATTGCAAATATCTTGACTACTATGGAAGATTTTCGGGTAATTTTTTCATCTAAAGCAAAACAAATGAACTAATGTATTTTTTGAGTGCACATAGCAATCACGCTAGACAGATCTAATTGAGGCAAAACCCTGGCCACAGTGTGATTATCTCTAGTCTTTACCAGTCTACCTTTAGTCAAGATGGCAGTCGCTGCTATATCTGTATACCACCAAGGTAGTCAGTATATAACGAGGTTTGACTGTATACACATGTATAGTTTATGTTTTACAAAAACAAACCCGGCGGATTTTCTAAAATTACAGAGACAGAAGCGTCGACCTACAAAAGCGATCGGCGAAATAAATTTAGCTTTTTGCAGCAAAACTGTCTCAAAACTAAAATAAACGAAGGGCGTCATGATCTGGAGAATATTTTAAAGAATCTTATGGCGAATACCGCATGTCGATCGATGCAGCCATTAAAAAGCCTTTTGAATAGCAAAATTCGGCCACCACAAATAGATAATGTATATATATATAAATATATTGTATGTGATATATATATATATATATATATATATATATATACACACACACACATTGGTTTCCACTTAACAGCAACCTAGATTAGATCTACCTCCGACTACATGTAACAGCTATTAAATTAAGCTTATGTAACAGAATTTTCCTATGTTGACTTACATTATGGTCATTTTGTTGTTGACTTTCACCTTTTGTAAGTCCAATGGTGCTGGAAGTATGTAATCATGATATGTCATATCTTTGCAGGATTCCATACCTCCAGATCAGCTTAGCCACACACAATGACAAGTCGGTTCATGTACAGCTCATTGATGAAGCAGGTGAACCTCAGATTGAGGAGTGCTATAAACTGGTCAGTCGTAAGGCGGCAATTGCTCTGTACCGTTGCATCACAGAAATGCATTCCTTCTACAGATGTGACACTGTGTGTCCTGATGTGCAGTCCCAATACTGTAGAGACTTCAAGGGCACCTTTGTCTCAATATTCAATGAGAATTCGGAGTTGGGTGAGTAGTTTGTTAATGATCTTTAATTTCAACAGAATGGGAAAGGTTTAACCCTATCCGTACGCCCTGGGGTCATTTTGTCCCCCCTCACATTTAAGAATACTTCTAGTACGAAAATCACTTTGAAACTTTCAGGTTTTCTCAAAAAATCATTTTGACAGACTGCTATGCAAAGCGTATGGATCGGATTAACGAGTAAATTTCCTCTTTGGAAAGTGGTGGCACAGTTCCCCACGTCATATGGATATGATCTTAAAACACGACGTACGGATAGTGTTAAGCATGTATTTGCCTTGTGGTGTTATTCTTTCACGATTTGGGTAGGGCAGTTTTTCATGGTCATTGACTCGATATGTGTCGCCTAAATGCCGTGATGAGATTTTGAGTGGGGTTTTTTTGGTTGTAATTTAAAAAAATAAGCAAACCGAGTTTCAAGAAATTAGTAAAGAAAAATTTTTATGCTGATTAAGGATAGACATGTCTCGTTCCTCTGTTTCAAATACATATATATCTCCTCCCCTAATAAAAGTAGAATTTAAAAGATTTCTGGCTTGTAAATTGAGATGATTGGCTGAAAATTGATACCCTGGTTAAATATGACATTTTTCAACGGATGACATTCTAAGTTCTGTGTGTATTTTATCATATAAATTGTAATAAAAAAAAACAAACTTTTTAAGTTTGATGAAACTTAAAAAGAAGGAACAGATTTTATCAGCATGCCTTTCGTATGATGGATATAGACCCAGCGCTGAAACATTGTTTCTAATTTTGCAGATTCAATTATGAGTTTTATTTAATGACATGAGCAATAAGGTTTTCCTTGCTCCATTTTCTGACCAGTAGGCCTACCTTGAAGCTTATTTCTAATTGTTTGTTTATTTTGTCTTTGAGTACAGGAAAAAGATACATCTTTGATATTCAGCGCACGAGCAGAGAGGCTTACGATTGTGTCAGGCGGAAACTGTACGCAAAGTCTTCTAGTCCCAATTGCAGCCCAGTACACAATTTTCATTCATGTGGGTCATGTGTTGATGAAGATGAAGAAGAGGAAGATGAAGACGTAGAAAGAAATGAAGAGGAAAAGGAAAGTGTGGTTAATGATGTTGCCGGTGACTTGATACAGCAGAAGCAAAATACAAATTTGCAAAAGGAAGTTAAGGTGAATGGCAGTTTCTTTTTGGTCTTTTGTGTTCAAGATTTTTGTCTATTTACTACTGGTAAGTTTATGCATTGATACTCGGAGTACTCATTAACAGAATATAGAATAAATGGAATAAAAATGGTTATTGGAATATTGTTTTTATTGCTAGTTCAATTACTTGTTTATAATAAGAAATGTTGTCTTTCTCGTTTTGAAATGATTGTTTGTTAAGCATGTTGCTCACCAAGGTGGGAGACAGGATGTTTAGACTTGGGGGGGAAAAGGATTAATTTATCTAGGTATATGTTTTTTTTTAATGACTTATATGTTTTTCATAAGGCCTATTATAGTCATTCATGCCTGTTCCAATTTAAGTTGAAATTGGGTGTATCTAATAAATATGGGAACATCTCACGTCATTGAAAATAGTTTAAGAAGGTTTATTTTCATTTATGGATTCTGTTCAATAATTGTGTCCTCTTTTCTAAAGTTGGCCTAAATTCTGTTTTCACAGAGTCTAAAGCGTCGTCTTGAAGTGTTGGAGGACTCACTTTTGTGCTGTATCTGTATGTACCAAAAAGTCTGCATGGTGCTGTGCCCATGCGGTCATATGACCTGTGATATGTGCTGTGAACGAATTGAGGAGTGTCCCTTGTGTCGCACAGATATCGATAGGTTTCAGAAAGTCTTTCAGGGTTTTGGATCTAATGCAAACACTGTATGTGATAGTATACCGCATGTTCAGACGGATTTGTGAAAAATTAATCTTTTCCAAGGACTTAAAGAGCAGTGGACACAAAATGTGATCTTAATCATTCCATGTGTTGAGCACATGTGATTTTTACATCCTCAACACTTTGTTCAGACATTTTCAAAATGGTCAGGTTGGTGTGTTTTTTCGTGGATTATGGGACAGTACGGACTGATATCAAGTCAGACTCTTTCGCTTCTGGATGAGCCCATTTTTTACGTCACAAGACTGAGCTATAAATGGCAAGGAGAGTAGATGGCAGTAGCTTTTTAGGCTGTGAAATGGACTTTGACAACAAACTTTGGTGTGTTTCTTCCAAAGGATCTGTTGATGAACTCATTTGATATAAACACAAGGTGCTTTTTTTCATTGTTCGGGAATCGATTTTATGAACAGATCAGCAATTGTGAAACCACATGTCCAGTGTTCTAATGAAAAGACCGCTTGGAGGTCGTGGATAATCAAGAAATTTTGCTCTCGGGTTATTTTACTCTGCTTATATATGCTTTTAATCTGTAACAAGATTTTCATTGAATTCTAGTCTTGTTCATGTATCCTGTTCCATACTGTCTTTGTCACAAGTGATGTGTAAAAATTTGTAATGTTTAATGGGAGGGTTCAAAATTTTGTGTGCCATTTTTTATGCTACCGATGTTCAATTGTCCTGTAAATGCGTGAGGTTTTCAACTGCTTAGTTTCTTGAGTGCAAGGGTATAAATGTCGTGACATGGTGGAATCGGGCACTTGTTTATTTTTAGGCAGATGGATTTATTCGTATCGTCTGAAAACTTCTTCATTTGTCTTGCTTTCGATGAAAAAAATATCCATTTATTTTGGGTACAAGTCGAGATATTGGCAATTGAAGGAGGTGGGGGTCACCTGGTTTCAGAGGTAAAATTTGCAAGTGAATGGCCGCCAAAGTTTTGCTATTTCCTTTGCTTGAGAATCCGCGGAGACTGAAAATTTGCTTTTTTGTGGCTTTTATGGATGGTTTTCAATAAAATCTGTACAAAAATGTGTGTTCTTAAATGGATATGGAAGGTGCTGAGCTAAAAAACAAAAATTAAAAGTAAAATTCCCAAACCTGCGGAAAAATGCGAGTTTATTCGTTTTCATTATTTTGACGAGCGCCTGATTTCACCTCGCTGTCTCACATATTATTGTTTAGTTCTTATTGTATAGTCTGAATAGTAAAGATAAACTGAGACAAAATCATGGAAGTTTTTAAAAGTAAGCTTTTGTTCTCCACGAGCCTTTGCCAAAGGGTCAGATATGTGGGTGTGTCAAATTTTGACCTGAGTTATGAACTTATACATTTTATACATCAATGACACCATCAAATATTTTTAAAAAAAGAAATTCCTGCCAATGGACACATTTATGGCATTATGATGGTGTATACTAAATATGTTCAATGTTTGATTGCATTTTGTACAATGGTTTAGGTTGAACAACATTCTCTTCTTAACCAAGTTAAACAACTGGTACATGTGCGTTCAAGATGAGAATAAATGCCATATTGTTATGAAAAGTTATAAGATGCATGCAGCACTTCAATAAATCAGCTCAAGCAGTTCGACTTTGACTAATGTACCAGGTATTTCCTTGACATATGTGCATGTTTTTAGAAGACAACATATTTTTCATTAGTAGTGGGTGGTTGATTTTAAAAGTCCTCATGCAAACACCTGCACCCTTTTGGCAAAAGCAAAGCTATGAATGATGATAGGATGATATTAAGAGGAAATTGAGGCAAACATAAATTTACTAGTCAGCATCATTTCATTGCAAAGATGGCAGTCAGAGAAAAAGTATCATTTTTCTTTTTGTGTAAACTATTGTAATGTAAAGCATAATCTGATGACATGGGAAGATCATCCATTTGGCATTTTTTATACTGAAAATCTCTGTGATAAAAAAACAATGAATATTTTCCATGTCAAGTAGTAGAGAAATTGGAGCGTCATTAGCAAAAATATATTGACTGTGCAGGGTTTTTTTTGTCAGCCTGAGTAGTACATCAATGGTAGGAGACGATGTGTGCATATTTGTATAGATTTAATGAAGAAGGATCATATTATCTCTTGTGTGTCTGCAGTATTGTATACAGAAATGCATGGGAAGAGAGAAACCAAAGTAGTTGTCAGTATTGAGAAAAATAAAACAATTGGATAACTGTAGTTTTGGACAATGTTAAAGAATGTTGTTATATTATAATGTTAAATATCAGTGAAAAGTAAGGCTAGAAAGCTTTCAAAGATATATATTGAATGTATTATAATTTATTGATTTTAGACGCGGCCATTTCTAAGAAAATGCCTTGGTCTTTAAAAATAAAATATGGTACCATTAAAAATTTTTTAAAGTTTTTATGGACACTTTGACTAGAAGTTATGACTATGACATAAGGGTACAGTTTTGCTATATTTGCTTCCTTGAGTCAACAGTTTTACTTAACTTCTGAAGTCTAGGTCTCAGTCTGTCATGCTGGCATGGAGGGAAGAGAGAGAAGTTTGTTGTATGGTGATGAATACTCTAGAAAATGCACACGCATAATGTACATCAACAATATCTTTTGAGCAGTTTAGTTTAGATACTCACTTCTAACATGGCTACAGAGTGGAAAAAACAATGATCGAGGAGAGACAAGTGAGTCTTTTGTGTTTTGTCGTGAAAAGAATGAAGTGTAAAAAATGTTACATAATGTGAAAATCTGAAATTATCATATCACTTGATTTGATGCTCAAATGATCATTTGCAAGAGTTTTCAAGGCCTTACTGGTTTTAGTTTGTCCCATAAAAAGAGATCTACAATTTTCAATGGCTATGGTGTCTTTGAAGCCCATTTTCTTTTTACTGTTAAAAAAGGACCTCAGATTTGTTCATTATCATTTATAACTTATATAATTAAGAAGCCATGAAAACTTCCCAGACATCCCTGGTTCAAGAATAAGAACGCCTTCTTGGAAATTAGATCCGGGGTTATATCATCATAGTCCAGCACACCTACAGAATGAATTTCTTATGTTGCAATGAATCAAAAATTGTGAGAAAGTGAAATACTGTGCCTACACTGGGTTTCAGGGTATTTTTTAGTTGGTTTTTTTTTTTAAAGTTTGAAAATAAGATAGCTTTTCTTGTTCTCTTTCGTACTCATTCATAAGGGATTGTTCCTTTAGAGAATAGTGTTTTTAAATTTTTAAATAAGAGTACTCTTTTTTAAAGAGCCAAAAAATTTCTTTTTTAAAATTAGAAAAGACTTTGAGATGCATTATTTTTTACATGAAGGCTTCTAAATTTTAGAGACCTATGATGTGTCTCAGTAGTGAAAGTACTGAAAGAGACCAAAGAGCTGCTATTTTTACCTTGACTTGAATAAAAAATATTTAGTGATCCAGTTTATACGTGTGTACGAATTGAGGATAGAACAACAGCTTATATTATGTAAGTGCTGCCTTTTTTGTGCAGTTAAAGAACATGTGAGGCATCATGGTGAAATCAGGCACCTGCAAAGTAATACTGGAATCAAAGAAATCAACATTTTCGTGCTAAGTTTATCTCTGATACCAGGGGACCCCCATCTCCTTGAATTGCAAATATTCTTGACTCATATTTGAGATAGATGGGTTTTTATATTTCTTCAAAAGCAAACCAAATGAACAGGCTTTAAGATTATATCAGTAACTCGATATGCTAAAACTAAAATATAGACTAGCTTCTGATTCCACCATGACACATAATGTATATTTCAGAAATACATGCAGGTCCTGGTGTAGTCCACTGGATTGTACTTGTCCAGTGATGCATTTCTGTCCTTCAGTATTGACGGATTTCTTCTTGCTCAGTGGCACACTTGTCATTCACGCACATAACAGTACACAGGTATTGACAGTGCTTTGCTCTAGCCTAGCCATGTTGATATTTATTTAACTGGTTTCTTGAGACGTGAATTTTTTCTGAATGCAATTAAAAAACAACAAAAAAACATAAAAGTCAGTCCGAAGGTCAGTAGGCTTAACTTTTGTATACAGCACAGTTTGTTAAGTGCACGTTGACTCTTTTTTTTCTTTCTTTTAAAAAACCATTTTTTTCTAGGATCCACAAATCAACTTCAACTATGGTTTTGTGTATTTTCTTAAAATTTCGTAGTTTGAGTTAAAAATATAACAGTGTCATCAAATGCACGCTCTCATTCTTTATCTCACTATACTTATTATGATTCTGTCATTTTCATTGGTCATTATATTGTCTTGTTTTTGGGGTTTTTTTTCCCCCATTTCTCATCGTTGACATTGTAATGCACAGGCATCTATATATTTGGCTCAGATAAAATTAATACAGAAAACTGGAAATCATTCCTTGAGTAATATTTTTGTAATTCTTTGCTGTCCACCTAAGATCCCAGTGTCGGAGGCTAGGAAAATGCGAGATCTTAGGCAAACGGGATCTGAGCCAATTCACCAAGGGAAGAATTTACGGTGACCCATATTAAGGCCCACAACCAGTAAAATAGTCTCCCTTTACTCTAAAATTAACTGACGTGACCCCTGGGTTAGTTTATGACATATGACATGCAAAGAGTGGTCAACCTTGATGACCAATGCCCCTGGCATGAGGCATGTCATTTTCCCTTATTATACTATCATGACTCTCAATATCTATGCCGGGGGCTCTCACTATCACGGTCGAGATTAAATTTTCTTCTTTCACGTCCTTTCCTGCTTTCTAGCTATGTTCTGTCATCTGCTTTCATCTCTACTTTCTGCCACCACCCTCTCACCTCTTTTGCCCCTTCCTCTGGGCTCCTGACTCTTTCTCTGCAGCCTTTCTACTGCTACTCCTTGGCTCCTTCTTACTACTGTCTTTCAGCCACACGTCAGATCTAATGGTAGGTAATATCTAACCTCTAGCCTTCTCGGATATGGGCAAAAAATCTGAGAGGTCCCGTGTGCAAGTTGCGCACGTTAAAGATCCCTTGGTGGTCCAAAATCGATGAGAGTAGGCTTAAGCTGCCACCCCATGGCAAAATTCAAAATTTCATACCAACAGAAAATGTTATTAATGTGTCCCGCGCACTCGTATATGACTTAATGCACTTGTTGGCCTTCCCCTTTACCTGTCCAAAATTTATAGCTTTCCTTCTCTTGACCGAGTTCCTCCACCCACCTTTGTCATTATGCAACATTACGTTGTGACCACACCGATTAAAATTAAAACTGTCTAACAAATTCGGGAGTAGAGACAACTGTTGCCGCAGCAATGATCAGGGAAGAGTTCACAGTACACGGAGTATCATGTGATCCTGCCTGGAGCTAAGTATATATACTTAGTATGTAAGTTCAGATGGAGAGCTCAGATGTGAGTGCGATGTTTTGGGAGAACAAGCGCATCGGTCAGTTCTTATCCCGTCTTGGTCAAACGTTCCATTTTATCGAGTTATACATCGCTTATGTAATTTCATTTACGAGAGTGGCTGATCTTTGACATGGCGGGCAGTTCAATGATCTCAACTTTTCACTCTGTGTTGATCGGCTGTGTCCTCCCTGGTTTTTGTTTCGTAAAATGATCTGAAATTCGGGATCTTAGCCGAATATATAGACTTTCAGTCTAGTGAATTAGTAGAGCGGGATCTTAGGGGTCACTTTTCTGTAGTAAAAATTATGTTTCTCAAACAACAGGATCTTAATTAAGCGAATTGGAATCGTAAGCGATGGGATCTTAGGCAGAGACTACTGTACTGTCAGATTCCTCGAATTATGAAATGAATTTATCGTATGCTTTTGTCAGTTTCTTACGTGTTTGAGTTATCCATGCCCGACTGTACTTTCACACACAGACACACGCACACACACACACCTGCATTCTTTTCTCCTTCCGTTTTAAGCAAGTTTTTGTAAGTTACTTGCATTCATCATGCTCTTATACAGCGGCACATACCTCATTTTTTCATTCCTTTTTTTCACATCTTCACTCCCACTTGTACTCAAATGCACACATATATTATACAAACACAACTATGAAATTTTTGCAAACCCTCAGGGCTTTCATTGTTACAGGACAAACAGAACTTTGAAATTTATCTCTATCACTTCTCTCAGAACGAATCTATCATTGCCCAGAAGTGAATGATTGTAAATAAGAAATTATGTTTGTCTTATGTTCTGTTTTTGTCTTGAGTTGGTTCAACAATAATATTATGTATGAAATCTTTTTGTTGGCTTCATCAAATAAATGAAATTCTTAACAGTACTGAAGTTGTTTTCTTTTCCCTTTGTTTTAATAAATCGGAGTCTTATTTGGCGGGTGCTTGAAGAGTCTATAAATTCTGTTTTGTGACTATCTTATTTTATTGGGGCAAATTGTCAACATGAAATCAAATTTTTAAAAAAGAGTGACCTTATTTAGGCCACATATGGCCTATATAAGCTACCCCCTCCCTTACCTTATTTAGGCCACATATGGCCTATAACTTATAGCTAAACCCCCTCCGTTACCATATTTATGCCACATTTATGGCTTATAAGCTAGCCCCCCACCTGACCTTATCTAGGCCACGTAAAAAAACAACAACCCTCTTCACCATCCATCTATCAACCCCCCAGGGCGGTGCTACTGACTGAAGTGTGTTTAGGCCATTCCCAGTAACCTGTTCTTATGCACAGTAGAATAGTAAATGGGCTGATTCATCGATGTCATGCTCACAATTGTAGCCTACCTGAACTGCAACAGTGCAACAGGGAACTGCTGCTTTTTCTTTCCTAGTCCTTACTATCGTCCTTTCCCCTTTACTTCTTTTGTATGTTTGTCACACTCTTGTGACCCGCTATTTCAGGGGTGCCTTGATAGTCGAAGCAGACTTTGTGCTGTTGAAGCTAGAGAGGTGAGCAGAGCTAGTCTGATGATTCCCTGTAAGGACTTCTCTGTTGACATCTACCCCTTGGCGCTCATGTGACCTTATGCAGTTGTGAGCACCGTTAAAAACTCTACTAAAACAAACATCCATCTTCTATCATCATAGCAGAACATGTTATTCTAGAATTTATTTAAGGTCCTTTTCTATTCCTCTACGAATCTGCAGTTGAAAACTCGTGCCGTTGTTACTTGTATGAAGTACAGAGGAAACCATATAACAAACACTACGAAAATGTTTACAATAAAGTTAACAGTCGTAATACATGTAAACCTTTTGAGTTTGTTTCTTGTTTCAGATCGTATGGATGCATTTACTAATAACATATCTTCCTAGATTATCAGAGGATGAAAAATTGTTTTGTGATTCCCCAGTACTGAGGATGAGACAGCAACAGCCCTTAATTAAATCAGTGAAGCATGGCTCTGCTGCGCGATGCGACGGTCTGCCAGTCGAGTTTTATCTAGTATTTTGGGAGCATTATATATTAAGGACTCCCTTGGAAAGTTATATATACAGCTTTCAGATCAACAAGCTGGCTCCATCAGAAAGGGTTGGAGTAATTTCTTTACTGCATGGGTAAAGGTCTCTCCACACATAGCATTAATAACTGGAGACCAATTTCCCTAACAAATACAGATTACAAAATCTGAGCTAAAGTTTTATCCACTCGTCTTAACTCTGTATAGATATGCTCATTGGAGAACAACGAACTGGATTTATGAAAAGAAGACATAATTCACAGAGAGTAGAGAGATTGGTGATATTTTACACAGACACGAGACCATGGATTCACCAGAAATCAGTCTTACGGTAGATTTCAAACAAGCATTTGATTTTATAAACACTCACTGTATCCTCAAAACCCTAGATGTATTTGGCTTTGGCCCAAACTTTCGAAAGTGGATTGAAATATACAGGGAGAAAGACTCTCGTTTGTAAAAAGTGGTGGTCATGTCTCGAAGACATTTCCAATGAGTAACAGTGTTTGACAAACCTGTCCGATTTCACCACAACTATTTATTCTTGCTGTGGAAATTTTAACTCAAAAGTAATCCAGAACAACACCGTAAGTGGTATCAACACCTAACCGGGTTTGGAGTCTATTAAAATTAGTCAGTATGCAGACGACACTACCTTATTTCTAAGGAATGCCAATGATTTGAGAAGAGCCACGTCCAATCTGAAACTGAATGATTGTTCCGTTATTTCAGATCTGCTTTCAATTTGAATAAATGTCACGCCATGTGTACAAATGGCCAAACCGTGACTATAGACGAATTTCCGATTTGAAAGTTTGTTCCCAGCATTAAAATTATTGGGAGTTTAGCTGTACAAAACCGGTGGAAGAACTAGAAGAAAAGTGTAAGCCCAGGATCGATACCCTCCTCATAATTTTTGGAAAATGGGCAAGAAGAGATCTATCAATTCTTGGGAAAATGCAGTTACATATGTTATATTATGTTGACTAAGTCTTTAGCCAGAATGTTTGTGTCTGGAGTAATTATTATCAAGCGAATTGTTCCTCTCCACGACATGGATCTTGTCACATATTTTAATCGTTTTACTGTTCTCAACCCATCTAGTTTCATCACATCACAAGAAAATCACTTGGAAGAAAAAT